TCTTCTTTTAGCATATTGTAGCTAGTGGTGAGCTCATTATGTATCCCCTCAAGTTTATCATATTTTCTTTAAGCTCATTTTTAGATGATTTGAGCTCTTTGAGTTTGGATGACATAGTTTTATTTTCTTCTCTAAGCTCAACACTAGCTTTTTCGGCTATATCATTTTTAGCTAAGAGTGAGTTATTCTCAAGTTCTAGTTTTTTATTTTTATCTCTTGTCTTTCTAATAATTTTAGTATATTGATTGAGCAACTTGACAAGATCATCATAAGAGGATGATTTAAATTCATCATCACTATCACTATCATTATTGCTAGCATGATCATCACCACTACTATCATTATCATTTTGTACCTTTCGTTCACCTTTGGTCATAAGACATTGGTGTGTAGAGGATGACAGCGGTGGTGTCGGTGAAGATAGTGAAGAGTCAATTACAATAGCAGCCACCTTCTCGTTCTCACTTTCATCATCGGATGAGCAACTTGATGAATCAATATCCATGAGCCAATCACCAACGATGTATATCTTGTCATTCTTCTTCTTATGAAAATCCTTCTTCTTGTCATCCTTCTTCTTGTATGGCTTGTTTTTCTTCTTCTCATCATTATCTTCATCACTTGAGTCATCTTTCTTGCCCTTGTACTTCTTTTTGTATTTGTCTTTCTTGGGCTTGGGGCATTGATGAGCTAGATGATCAAATTCTTCATAATTATAACAATCCATCTCGGAGATTGGCTTCCGTCTATTGCCAGTGAAGAATTTCTTCCTCTTGCTATCAAATTTGACACCGTTCTTGTTGAGCTTCTTAAGCATCTTGACGGTTCTTCTCACCATGAGAGCAAGACTTGCATCATCAATTTTATCATCACTTGAGCTCTCATGTTCAACTCTAGCTTTGCCCTTCTTCTCTTGGCTAGCCTTGAATGCCAAGTCTTTCTTCTTGGTTGAAGAAGAGTCATCTTGTGGTGTGATGTGCATATACACTTCATGTGCATTGATCTTTCCCAATATTTGTGTTGGTGTAGCGGTGGAAAGATCACCTTGATGAAGCACGGTCACAATATGCCCATATTTGTCAATGGGGAGGACACTGAAGATTTTTCTTACAACATCGGAGGGTTGCATTTGTGTAAGTCCTAACCCATTGACTTCCTCTATAAGAACATTTAAGCGTGAATACATTTTATTAGCAGTTTCTTTAGGAAGCATCTCAAATGAATTAAGCTTTTTCATAACAAGATGATAGCGTTCTTCACGCTCACTCTTTGTTCCCTCATGGAGCGCACAAATGTCCGACCATAGTGCATGGGCGTCCTTGTGGTTCCGCACACGGTTAAACACATCTTTATGAAGACCTCTAAAGATTGTGTTTCTAACATTTGCATTCTATTTCTCGTAATTAACTTCATCGCCTTGAAGGTGTATGGGATCCTTAGGTTTTGAAAAACCTTGAGAGGCGGCTCTAAGAATTCCAACATCTAGAGCTTTTAAATAAGCCTTCATGCGGATTTTTCAATAAGAAAAATTATCTCCCTCAAAGATAGGAGGAGGTCCATCCCCGTGGGACATCTTTCTATAGGCGGTTAAGCCTAATTTAGCGAGTACGAGGCTCTGATACCAATTGAAATGATCAAGATGCCCAAGAGGAAGGATGAATTTGGCTAATTCTAAATTCTTTGCAATAATTAAGTCGTACACTTAACCCACTTCACACATTGTGTTTAGAATGTGATTCTATTGATATACCGCACAAAGGTTTTGCACCATAAGTTTCAATCCTACTCTAGCATGGCAATTTTAGAAATGTAAAAACAAGAAATGAATTGCTCAAATGTAAAAGCTTAAAGTAAAGAGAGGGAAAGGAACGCGGCGATATTTTGTCAAGGTATCGGAGAGTCGCCACTCTCCACTAGTCTTCGTTGGAGCACCCGCGCAAGGGTGTAGCTCTCCCTTGATCCGCGCAAGGATCAAGTGCTCTCTACGGGCTGATTCTTTGACACTTCGTCACGGTGAATCGTCCACAACCGCTCACAACTTGAGTTGGGTCATCCACATGCTCCGCTGGATGATCACCAAACTCTCAATCACCACTAAGCCGTCTAGCTGATGGTGATCACCAAGAGTAACAAGCACAAACTCTCACTTGACCACGACAAGCCTAATGAGAAGGGGTGGATGCACACTTGCTACTCTCCTTACACTAATGAGGCCTTAATCTTGGATTCTCAAATCTCAATCACCTCACTAGGCTCTTGCTCTCCTTTGCACTCTCAAGGGTGTTTCTCAGCTGAACAAATGAGCAAGAGACCTCCCTTGGACGAGTGGAGCAAGTATTTATACCCCCTTATTCAAAACATAATGTTTGGAGGCTGAGTCATCACTCTGCGGGGTGACCGGACGCTCCGGTCAGTTATCCCCTCCACTGTGTCAGAAATAGCCGTTAAGTTCTGACCGGACGCTGGCACCCAGAGTCTGGTCACTTCGCTGTTCAGCGTCCGGTCAGTTACCAAATCCTGACCGGACGCGTCCGATCAGGAAACTTCCTCTCTGGAACCTTTCTGGAGTTGACTGGACGCAGGCACCCAGCGTCCGGTCACTTTTCACTCAGCGTCCGGTCGCAGCCAGACGACTTCAGTTGATCAAATGAACTGACCGGACTCACCCTCCAGCGTCCGGTCACAACTAGACCAGCGTCCGGTCAGTCATTTGACCATCCATTCACTTCCAACTTGAAATCCTATGTGAATAAAGTTTACTCCAATTGATCTTAGGGCTACTCCTGAGCTACCGAGTGCTAAATTTGACAAGTGTGCACCATACCTAACCCACTAGACTTACCTAGGTCAAGCTACTAGTTTATACCCCCCTTAATAGTACGGCCAAAGGAAAAACAAAGTTCTAAACTACTCTAAGTGTCTCTTCAACACCAAACGATATTCAGAACTAGTCCATTCTTAACCTTGTCGTCCATCATTTGAAAACCGAAACGATTTCCATCGTCAGGGGCATGACCACCATGATTGCCCAATCAATTTCCATTACTATGACCTAACTTAAATTGCCTCTGCAAAACACACGTTAGTCATAGTAATCTCGTGTTGTCATTAATCACCGAAACCCAACTAGGGGCCTAGATGCTTTCAGTGGAAAAGGCACCTTATTTACCTAGGTGCACTGCGTTTTCAAAAGCTTCCAGTCGAACCGGCTCTAATGTCTCGGAGGTCTTCCCCCGCAGGTCGAGTTTTTTCTTTTTTTCCTCATTTGACCTCTACCTTGTTGCTAGAACTGATTATTCAACCGTACTGCTAATTACTTAGTTTAATCAAATATTTTGGGGATTATCATGCAGGATTTATCTTTGGAAATGTTCAGTCGAAGTTGTGATGATTTTATCTCTAAAGTTTGATGGCAAGTATGAGAAAAAGGATCTTCCAATTCACATTCTGTGTTTTGATTGCATTTAAGCTGCTCTTTTCACCATTTTTTTTGTTTTATTTTGTGTATGACACTGAACAATTCAATGATGGGGAACAAAATCTTGTAATAATCCGATAAATATGTAGATTGGGCACCAAGGCTACCATTCACTCTTCTGAAATTGCAAGATTAACAATTCTAATATACGCAGGACTTCTCATTGGAAAACTTTAAGGAAAGCTGTGGAGTGCATTTCATATTCCGTTGGGCGGTGGCATATGTGCATTCCAGGAGCTCCTCAGCTATCCTTGCGGCAAGTGCCCTTGCTGGTGGTCTTGCAATTGCTTGTGCTCTCAGAAGGAACTACTGCAAGCAATCATAGATTCTCTCGGTCGATAATTTTCCAGCTACATGCACATTATATTATTCCCAAGATTCTACTACCAGTATGTTGAGTCAAAAGGTGAATTGCCAAAACTCTTACTCCTATTCTACAATTATTGGCCGTGATTGCCACATCTATACACAAGAGAAGTATCCAGACTAGGAGCATGGAAAGTGAGGGATTAGGATATGAATGCTTAGGATTTCAATCAAGAGTTTTAACCGAATCGCCAAAGGGTCTCTAGCATAGTGATTATAGTATACCTAGGTAGCATTCAGCAGGCCTGGGTTCGACTCCCCGTGGAAGCGAATTTAAACAGGTCTGGAATAAAATAAATAAATAAATAAATATAAAAAAAATAGGTTGAGGTTTCCCTGCTGACTTCTCTCAAAAAGAGTTTTAACCGAATCCTAAATCCCTGGAAGCAGTTGCCTCATCAAAAACAGGGGCGAGTAAGGTGTAACTAAGGGCCTACGAGGTCAAATCTGTTAGTGTCTGCATAGTTCTTATGGCTCACAATAACCTAGGAGGTAGACAGGTAGTTAACCTTAGCATTGGACGGAAGAGGCAAAGCAAACTTGGAAGTGAGCATCTCCTGGCTCATGCCAACTCTATGTTGACCCCGTGAGCATAAAAAAAACCCCTACTAACAGGCATGAAAAGCTATGCCTGTTGTCTCTCCTACGCTTAGCCTTGTCACTCTTAAGTTTGCTTTGTTGCCACTCTTAGTTGTTGTTCCTGCCTTTTCCCACTCTTTGGAAATTATTGTGGAATACTCTCACCAATGCAATTGGATGAGAATTTAAACATCTGAGTGCCGTTTGAGTGGGAGATTTGATCCTTGCACCTTCTGATCGGCATTTCTCCTGTGTATGCATTTGTTCCTCCCAAATGAGCACGCCATCTTTATGCAGCTATATATAACGGAAGCAATCAAGCAAAGGATCAACGTGCGATCCATAGGTTGCTTCCAACATAGCTACTACTGATAATTCAAGAGGTTAGTGAACGCAATTGACTTTTGCAGGGAGGAGCCATGTTAATTTGCAGAGCAAGCAAAGCGGAGCTGTGGGAGTGCGTGTATTTTAGTTCCATCCCGTTCAGGCAGTAGAACACCGGAGATAGTAGTATATAAGTGCATAACCAAGGTAGCTGAGCTCACCCAGTGTTGTGCTGCGAACTTCAGGCCAAGCCATGAACGACGTAAACAAAGCCATGGCTGTGTTTCACTCTCACATAGGCGGGAAGCTCCTCAATGTGGTGCCTATGCTTCTCCTCTTCTCCTTGGGATTTGTGCTCGGCATGACCTCCGACTCCAAGTTCCCAAACTTCTACCTCTCCTCCGTCGCGTCATCGCCCTCTCCGGCGCCGCTGCCACCGCAAAACCCACAAGTGGGGCTGGCACGTTTCCTGGAGCCGCCCAGCGTCATGCACAACATGACCGACGAGGAGCTGCTGTGGTTGGCGTCCATGACGCCCAAGGTCCGCAGCACGCCGTACCACCGCGCGCCCAAGGTTGCCTTCTTGTTCCTGGCGAGAGGGGACCTGCCGCTGCGGCCGTTGTGGGAGAAGTTCTTCGCGGGGCACGAAGGGCTCTACTCCATTTACGTGCACACCGATCCCTCCTACACCGGCTCGCCGCCGGAGGACTCCGTCTTCTACGGTCGCATGATCCCAAGCCAGGTAACAATAGAGCAAAAGGAGAAAATCTATAAGATGTTGCTGACTGTTCGTATTAGTTTAGTGACTGTAGCACAGCTTTTCGTTATCTAATCGATCTCAAGGTGAAGGCAACTACTGCTATATATATATATATATATATATATATATATATATATATATATATAAACAGAAATGCTATACAACACATATGTGTTTTAGTAAAAAAAATACATAATTTTTTAGCACAAAAAACACACGGCGAGAGCACGCGGCAGCGCAGCACCAGCAGTGCGACGCAACGACCCATGACGAATGGGTAGGCAATGGAACCAACCGCTCTGTAATTTGTTCTTTCATAGAAAAAAATTATTTTCTGTGATATGTGATCTATAATCTGTGGATCTGTGATCTTGTGATTGTCTGAAGGTAGAAGAAGGCTAGAGGTGGAAGAAGGATGGATGCTGTTGGATCTTAATCTTATGGTGTAAAAAAAATTCATGTGTTAGAATTACATAAAACACATTGTTGTCCAGTAGACAGACTGCAGAAAACGATGTGGGGAGACGTGAGCCTGGTGGCCGCGGAGCGCCGGCTGCTGGCGAACGCGCTCCTGGACCTCGGCAACGAGCGCTTCGCGCTGCTCTCCGAGTCGTGCATCCCCCTCTACAACTTCACCACCGTGTACGCCGTGCTCACCGGCACCAACACCAGCTTCGTGGACGTGATCATCACGCCGGCGCGCTACAACGACCTGTTCGCGGAGCGCAACAACATCACCGTGGCGCAGTGGCGCATGGGCGAGGAGTGGTTCGAGATGGACCGCGCGCTGGCGCTGGAGGTCATCTCCGACGGCACCACTTCCCCACGTTCCGCGAGCGCTGCGTGGGGCAGGCGGCCTGCCTCATGGACGAGCACTACGTGCCGACGCTGCTGAGCGTGCTGCGGTGGCCGCGGAGCGCCAACCGGACGCTCCAGTTCACGGACTGGAAGCGCCGGGATGGACTGTTCCACCCGCACAGGCACGGCGCGGAGGAGGTGACGGCGGAGCTGGTCGAGGAGATCAGGGGAGGCGCGCGCTCCGGCAGGAACTGCAGCGCGTACCACGACGGGGCCACCGGCGTCTGCTTCCTGTTCGCGCGCAAGTTCACGCCGGACACGCTCCAGCCGCTGCTCCGGTTGGCGCCCAAGGTCATGGGGTTCGGGTGAGACGAGATCGAGATTGTATATTGCTGTGGCTGCTTTACATGTTTTTGGAGTTAATTACTGTACGAGTGTCATCTATCAACACCAGTCACTAGAAGAATAAAATGATTTCTTCTAACGTGTAGCTGCAGAAACGGGAACGCTTGGTTAATTTCCCGGCACGCAATCACATTCACGCCAGCACCCGCGTGCAGGCCCGAGATCGCCGTGCGCCCGCCCAAGGTCACCGACCTTTCGACTTTTGAGAGCCCGTACAGGCCGTGAGGCCGACCACGCGTCCACGCGCCATAGGGTAGTAGTAATGTAGGCATTGTGTACCACGGAGCCATTTTGGTTTCCGAGGTCAAAACTAAACTGAAAAGAGGAGCTGGAGACACGATTTCTAGACACATGTTTGTCTGAGCTTATTTAGCTTATAAGTCGTACCTTTTTAACCAAAGAATAATATTTTTTTGTATTTTTTCAATCAAAGAACAATACTTTTTTCTCATACTAAATCAGCCAGTACTTTTAGCCTAGCCCCACCAGATCCGTACTAGAGTACTACTACAATAATGTCTAGAGCGGGAGCTAGAAAGAACCGTGGCAAAGAGGCCAAGACCTGCTCATGCTCATGCAGGCTCAGTGACGATATCTAACTAGTAGGAGCGCTTTGAGCAGAAAAGGTCCAAAGGCCAATGGGCACAATGAGCTTGACTTTCGTCACTCCAGTTGTGCTGGGAGCTACTACCTCTATCTCAAATTATAAAACGTTTGATTTTTTTAACATCTAGTTTGGCCGATCGTCTTATTTAAAAAATTATGCAAAATATCACTTCTTTTGTCGTGGCTTGCTTTATTAATAAAAATTCTTCAAAATGACTTAAATTTGACTATATTTGCATAAATTTTTTGAATAAGACGAGTGGTCAAACTTGAGGTCAACAAAAATCAAACGTCTTATAATTTGGGATAGAGGAAGTAAGTGTTTATGTCAATGTATAGAACGAAGTTGGGTGCAATTTACAAGAGCAAGGCTAATAATATAACCTGGTACTGGAGGTATGAATCTTTACAGACTATCTCTCAGTCCATTTATATAGTAGTTATCTCTTCACTATTAATATACAGTCCACTTGTCTCTATCATAAAGTTTTTTTTGTTTTTATGTCTAATCTAATTGTAAACTTATAGCCCGCTTCTCCTCTCTCTTCCACCTCAGCATACGACACACCCACAGCCCTTTTTACTATACTTGCTCTAAAGTGATGAACATAGGCAACTATTTGATTTGAGCTTGCCTTTATCTAGAGTAGACAACTGTGCACTTTTGACGACATTTATTTATATAAAAAAAATTATGGCTCCCGGTGACCGGTTTTACATAAAGATACTGAAATTCACATAAAAACATAAAAATCTTGAAGTTATTTTTCAAAAAAGTTAAACTAGTTTTGAAGAAAAGTTAGTTATACCAGCCAATCATTCTAAATATACCATTGTACTGTTTTCTCATATAATATATTTATATCAAAGAAAATAATTAGACTTTCCTAAATTGTTGATCTAGTTAAACGTGGAATCCAACTCGTAAATGTAATTCACGTATCTCAAGGGTCACAAAGAATATTAGGAAAAGTAAATGAAATTGGGCTGACTAGGCACAAGTTGGGACAAATTTCTCGTGCTTCTGTCGGGACGATTTTGGAATCCGGACGATAGGCCCATTATGCGGTTTTCCTTTCCGTTTTATTATCGATAATGCTCTGACTCGAACGTCCGGTATTTCCGGACGCGGCGGATAACCATTGGCCACGACGCCCGCGCATCCTCCTCCACTCATCTCTTCATGGCCTTATCCACTTGTCACACCGTCCGCTCATTATTCCCACACCGCATTGCTCCCTCCCGCGATGCAAGGCTCCGCCACGCTGCGTACTCCAGCCCACGCCTTTGCTCCCCTCCGCTCGCTCGCGCCCCGTGGCTCGCGCACCTCTCGCCCCTCTTGTCGCGTGTGCCATCGGCTCCCTCCCTGGCCGATGGCGACGCCTCACCCACCCGGGCGTCCTCCTCCCCCACTGCGGCATCCTCCTCCTCCACCCGGCGGCTCCTTGCCCCACACCGACAGCTCCTTCACCCACCCCGACGTCCTCCTTTCCCCACCGCGGCGGCTCCTTCCCCCACCCCGGCGTCCTCCTCCCCCACCCCGGCGGCGTCCCTCCCCCCACACCGGCGTCCTCCCCCACCGGGAGCCCCCAATGCCCGCAGATCCGATGGCCATAGCGCTCCCCGCGCCAGCCTCTCTCTCCCCTATGTTGCAATTATATGTTTCAATTGTTTCAGATGTTTTAGAAGTATGTTGCTGTTGAATCATATGGATGTTGTAAAAGTAGATCGGGGGATGTTGCACATGTTGCAATATTGCAAGGGTTTTTCAGAGGCATGTTGCAAGCGTTTTGTTTAAAATGTTTCATCTGTTCCCAAATGTATTGTTGCAAGCGTTTGATCTGGATGTTACATATGTTCCACACATATGTTGCAACAGTATGTTCCAAAATATTTCATCTGTTTCACTCTTCTATTGCAGCAAGTGTTTTCATGTTGTAAGCTGCAAGTGTTTCTATTTGGATATTGCATATGTTTCATACATATGTTGCAACTATATGTTCAAGATGTTTCATCTGTTTTGAGACGTATGTTGCACTCAAGTGTTTCATGTTGCACGTGTTTCATGTTGTTCGAAGAGTCAGGGGGCGTCGGAGAATGGGGCGCGACAAGCTAGTGGACGTGGCGCGCGGCGCTCTAGGGGCCTACGTCGGGGGCACGATGGGGTAGGGGTGCGTCTGTGGGGGCGAGACGAATGGATGGGATGGGGGCAGGGGGGTGCGGGACGTGTCGACGGCGTGCGGCGGGGGTTCCGATGGAAGCTAGGTCCACATGCATGTGTGTGGGTGTGGGAGCGTAAGGGTTGCAAACGGGAGCGCGGGCAGGGGCAGTGCAAGAAAGGGAATTTCTTTTGGCTACCGTCCATACATATGGAATAGATGTTCTGTCAGTATACTTGGCCATGCAGCACGAGGCACGGCGGCACGACACGAAGCACGAAAAAAAAGCCCGACACGAACCCGCCATGGCCCGATGAAACTCGGGCCCAGGCTGGCCCGGCCCGCTGCTCAGGCCGTGCTTGGGCTGACCCCCAAGCCCATGGGCCAGCACGGCCCGGCACGAGAAATGGAGGGAGGCCCGACAGCGGCCCGAGGCAGCCAGCCCCCCCCAACGGCTACCCGCCACCGTCAGTCCAACGGCCATTTTGGCCCATCATCAGCCCACACTCGGCCCCTCCCTTCATATATAAGGGACACGCCGCGGCCGTCGGCCGCCCCCTCTCCTCACCTAACCCTAATCGGCTAATCCATTCGACTCCACCCGCCGCGCAGCGCCCACACCGCTCTCGTCTTTGCCTCACCTTCGCCGCGCCACCGTCTCCTCGGCGTTCAACCTCATCGACTCTGGTGACCTTGATCTGCCTTCCATCGTCGGCCAACCTTTCCCTTCTCCTCCCTAATCTCCTTCCTCTCCCCCTCTCCCTTCCCCTCTTGGTGATATGTGAGTTCGTGTTCCTGTCAGTGTCATCCCTCCTCCGCCGCTCGTCGTCCTTGCTAACGGTCTGTCGTCTTCTCTGCGGGGGTCATCATCTTCGCCGGCACCGGGCTCCGGTTGCGCAGGTAAACCCTAACCCTAACCCTAGCATCTTCTTTCTTGATCTGATTCTGTCATATGATGTGTTTCTTGATCTACAGGTCGGTAGCCGATGCTTCCTCTTCTAGCTGCGGCGTAGAGCGAGCTCGGCGGCCACCCACACCGTCGAGGAACGGAGCCGTAGCGGTCACTTCCATGGCGGATGACGATGTCGTCCTACCGAGCATGGCCCCTGAGGGCGAGGACGACGACGACCTCCGAGAGGACGCAGCTGCCTTGTTCAGTGTCAATCTCGGAGCCAGCCAGGCTCCGATCGATCTGGACGACGTCGGTGGTGAAGGGGCGACGACGGCTGGGACTGGCTCCAACACCAACATCTCTGCTCCATCTGTTTCTGGTAATGCAACCAGAGTTGGTAAGCGCAAATCTCCTGTCTGGACTGACTTTGATGAGATCTATGAGGATGTGAACGGCAGTAGAATTTGCACTAAAGCTGTTTGCAAAATGTGTAAGGCTACTTTGTCTGCTAGATCTGTTTCTAGAATTGGGCACTTGAAGAGGCATCAGAAATCATGTATGTAAAAAACTAATCGACGTGCTGCTGTTCAGTCTAGGCTTGCGCTTAATCCTAATGGTTTACGCAACTGGGACTATAAACCTGATGTAGCTAGACAGGAGCTGTGTCGCTTGATTGCTAATCTTGATCTTCCCTTAGGTATTGGTGACACTGATGCATGGGAGGAGTACATTCAACGTGCTCATAACCCTATTTTTACTAGGGTCTCCCGGCAGGCCACCACTAGAGACCTAAGTAAGTTATTCACTGAATATCGTAATATGCTTAAGAATCATATTTTGCGTGATACTTGAAGAGCGGCGCCGACGCTTGTTGCCAGAACATGTGGAGATGCTTGCTTGCATCAAGGATTGGGAGTTGGGAGAACAAAGACTGCAGCATTCAACAGACAACCAAGAGTTGGCAAGCTACTTCGAGCATCAATATCTTGATGAAGAAATTCAGAGTGCATCTGGGGCTCCTTCGGCTGGTACATCAGTGGCTTCTGCATCTACTTCTGCTGGTACTTAGTGTTCTCTGTTCTGAGAGAGTTGAGAGATGAGAGATGAGAGTGAGTTGAGAACTTGAGATTGAGATGAGAGATGAGAGTTGAGATGAAACTGAGAGTGACATTTGTATCTGAACTTTGAACTTATCATTATAAGAGCTATGCTGCACTCTTTTTTTCTTTCTAGGGTTTCTTATAAGGGTGAGTTTTACCTAGAAATGTTTTTAATGAGGCAGCATTGCACACAGCTCAATTATCTTTTTAAGTCTTGTTTGTGCATTGTTATTTTGTGATTGTGAGTTGTGAATCTGTTAAGATACTTCATACTTGTGAGTTGTGACTGGTCAATGGTCTAGTTGTTAATTGTTATATTTGAATTCGGTCTAGTTGTGAACTTGTGATTGTGAGTTATGATTGTGAATCTGTGATCTCTTATCCTTTATGTTTTCTGTGAAATTTGATTCCAAATTTAAAAACTGAAGTTAGAGCTTAATTTGCTGGTGTGTTTACAGAATTGCGAGCTGTGGGCTGGCACGGCCCGATATTTTCGCCGGGCTAGTCGAGCTGGCACGGCCCGAAAATCAGCCCGCGGGCCCGTGCTTGGGCCGAATGCCAGGCACGAGGCCCGTGCTGGCACGGCCCGCAGGCACGACGTGCCGTGCCGGCCCGAGAAGTTGCGGGCCGTGCCTGGGCCGGGGCGTGCCGGGCCGGCCCGATGGCCATATATATATGTCAGATTTCTAATAATGGAAGGAAAGGATGAGGCCTATGGCTCGTAGATTATTGCTTCTGAGGTATATCCTACTCATAAAAAATTGCTTAGTCAATACTCAAATAGAACTTTTGAACGAACAAGCAATGTCAATTTGGACAAGTTGTGCTTGCTTGCGTGGACCCTCAAGGATGGTTAGATCACTAGTTCAGCCAGCGATCATATAACCAAGCTAGCAGCATTTCTCTCTCATTCATGCTGCTAGCATGAGGGCTGAGGCTAAGCCTGCTAGTCATGAGAGGTACAAGCAAGTCTATGCCGATGTCTCACTTAGGCAGGAAAATCCTCAATGTGGTGCCGCCTATGCTTCTCGTCTTTTCCTTAGGATTTGTCCTGGGCATGATCTCCGACTCCAAGTTCCCAAACTTCTACATCCCTTTTGTTCCACCAATGCCCTCTCCTGCAATTCCTTTGCCACAGCTTCCTGTGTCATCACCATCCCCACCCTTGCAGCCTATACCGCCGCCACCATCACTGCAACTGCAAGTGGCAGGGGTGATGCGCTTCTTGGGGCCAAAGAGCGCCATGCACAACATTACGGACGAGGAGCTGTTCTGGTGGGCATCCATGGCACCGAAGGTCTGCAGCACGCCGTACCACCGTGTGCCAAAGGTTGCCTTCTTGTTCTTGACAACAGGGAACCTGCCTTTGTGGCCTTTGTGGGAGATGTTCTTCAATGAGCACGATGGCCTGTACTCCATCTATGTGCACACTGATCCTTCCTACACTGGTTCGCTTCCGGAGGAGTCCGTGTTCTATGGTCGCATAATACCAAGCCAGGTACTAAAAAGATAGATAAATCTGTAAATAATCCATTGGTTTAGATGTACTTAAACTTCTAAAGATATGGACACTAGAAAATGCTACACTGCATTGAAAAACCTTAAGATCATCAGATTCATGACCCGCAGATGACCTAGTCTCTTCTTGTGATTGTTCCCATTGAAACAACTCAAGCATTCTTTTCTTTAACAAACAGCTTCAGCATTCTTATCTACACTTATTTTGTTAATTGTTCTAATCTAGTGACTAGCAGCATGGTTTTTAGTTCCTGCATATATATGTTTGAAATGCAACGACATATTTGGTGGATGCAGAAAACGATGTGGGGGGATATGTCTCTTGTGGCGGCGGAGCGCCGGCTCCTGGCAAACGCCCTGCTAGACCTCAGCAACGAGCGCTTCGTGATGCTCTCGGAGTCATGCATCCCCCTCTACGACTTCCCCACTGTGCACGCCGTCCTCACCGGCTCCAACACCAGCTTCGTAGACAGCTTTGTGAACCACGACAGCGAGGTGCGCTACAACCCCTTCTTCGCCGACCGCAGCAACATCACCCTTGCACAGTGGCGCAAGGGCGCCCAATGGTTTGAGATGGACCGTGCCCTCGCCCGTGAAGTCGTCTCCGACGACACCTACTTCCCGGCGTTCCGTGAGTACTGCGCTGCCCAGCCGAGCTGCCTCATGGACGAGCACTACATCCCAACTCTGCTGAGCTTGATCGGGTGGAGGCACAACGCCAATCGGACGCTCACGTACGCAGACTGGAGGATTGGGGAAGTGCACCCACAGACGTACGGGAGAGATGACGTGACAGAGGATCTGATCAGGAAGATCAGGGGAGGCGCCGGCAGTGGCAGGAACTGCACCTACAATGACGGGGCGAATGGGACCTGCTACCTGTTTGCGCGCAAGTTTGCACATGATGCGCTCGAGCCGCTGTTCCGATTGGCTCCCAAGGTTATGGGGTTTGGGTGAGATGATCAAGATTGTAGTTTGTTACCATTGTAATCCTTAGAAAAAGTGAAAAACAGTTGAGTGCTTATCAGCAGAAGATTCATTGCGTTTTCAACTTCGATGGAAATGGCATTGGTCTCTTTACTTCTTTATATGAGACTTTGGTACTCCTACAATGAATGAGCTTATAGTGTTCGTATGCAAGTTATTAGTCCCTTTACGTATGTGTAGCATTGCAGAAGGCTGCTGTTAGTGCTGGTTTCCCCCTTCTCTGAAAATTTTAAAAAAGTTCGACTATGAAACATTGGATAGGAATCTTAAGTAGGAGAAGCATCATTTCGGTGGGAGGAAATGGTCAAATGGGAGGATTTTTCTGAATTGCCCCATGCTACTGGCATAGAGAAAGTACGAATCTGATGTTTCTGTTGATCTCTTGGGGAGATTAGTTATACTGTTTTCAGTTGCCTCTTTTAGATGAAAATTCTTCTGACCTCTCCAGTTACATACCCAAAAAAAATCTTCTGACCATAAATCTTTTTTTTTCAAAAGATCCGTTACCGGCTTTCATCGATATAAGAGAAGAGCAAAGTTACAAATGTCCTATGTGGCACAAGCTGCGCCACACCCATTTTGCTTGGGACTCAGATACAGAGTCTTCTGACCAGAAATCAAAGTTGATTAGTAAGTCTCTCTTAGGCATCTACAAATGGAATGAAAAGTGGTATATATTATTGCTTGTATGTAGTTCCCCATTGCGGTGCACTTATTATGCATCTAATCTAATCGCGGAAGAGATAAAAGTTCTTAAGATAAGCTGTTTGTGCACACAATTATATGTGGTCTTTCCTCATCACAAAGGGCGTATGTTCCTTTTTTTTTTTTTTTTACGCTTTACACAAAGTGAATAGTTGTGCAATTTATATATTTGTACCAATGATACCTACTGGAAGCAAAGGGGAGTTGAACTTGAACCTATGGCTCATATAGGTTATTCCTTCCTAGCGATAGGTATCCACGCTGATACTAAATAGCTTACTGAATACTCCAAACTTTTGCACGAACAAGCCATGCCAATTTGCACAACGAGTCAATCTCACAAGCAGTAGCTGCAGTATAACCAAGGCAGCAGCTGCATTTATCTCTCGCTCATGCCGCTGGCTAGCTTGAGACTAAGCCATGAAGGACACAAACATGCCCACACGGGCGCCGCGCTCAGTCGGGAAACTCCTGTACGTGGTTCATATGCTTCTCTTCGTCTCCTTGGGATTTGTCCTAGGCATGGCGTCCATAGCCAAGTTTCCAAACATCAACACCCCTTTCGTTGCATCATTGCCCTTTCCGACGCCGCCACTGCCGCCGCCACCTCCACCAGCAGCAACGCCATTGCTGCCAGCACCACAGAACCTACGAATGGGGCTGATGGACTTGCTTGCGCCAAGCGGCGTTATCCACAACATGACCGACGAGGAGCTGTTCTGGAGGGCGTCTATGGCGCCCAAAGGACATCGCACGCCTTACCGCCGTGTGCCCAAGATTGCCTTCTTGTTCCTGGTAAGAGGGGAGCTGCCACTGCGTCCTCTGTGGGAGAAGTTCTTTGCGGGGCACCACGAGCTCTACTCCATCTACGTCCACAGTGATCCCTCCTACACGGGCTCGCCGCCGCCGGACTCCGTGTTCTACGGCCGCATGATCCCAAGCAAGGTAAGGGTGCGCTAGGTTGTTCCAGAATGGAGCAAGGAATTATTCCAGATTATCAACGTTATACAAACCTCAAGGAAGCATTCCAACCGGGAATCGTTCCAGGCCTTCGTTCCGGAGTAACCGAACAAGCCCTAAATGAAATTCTAGCACTGCAAAATGCTCTGCAACTTCGTTCCAGCACAACCATGGATATGCTGCTCATTGTTGGACTGGACGTGCAGGAAACGAAATGGGGACACGTGAGCCTGGTGGAGGCAGAGAGCCGGCTGCTGGCGAGCGCGCTCCTGGACCACGGCAACGAGCGCTTCGTGCTGCTGTCGGAGGCGTGCATCCCCGTCTACAACTTCTCCACCGTCTACGCCTTCCTCACCGGCTCCCCCACCAGCTTCGTCGACAGCTACGGCAACGGCGACTGCCGGGCGCGCTACGACAGGTTCTTCGCGGAGAGCACCAACATCACCATCGAGCACTGGCACAAGGGCGCGCAGTGGTTCGAGATGGACCGGGCGCTGGCGCTCGAGGTCGTCGCCGACGAGCCCTACATCCAGATGTTCCGCGACTTCTGCGTTGGGCGGTGGCGCTGCCTCACCGACGAGCACTACCTCCCGACGCTGCTCAACCTGCTGGGGTGGACGCGGAACGCCAACCGGAGCCTCACGTACGCGGACTGGAAGCGGCCGCAGGGGATGCACCCGCACACCCACGACGGGGCCGAGGTGACGGAGGAGCTGATCAACAAGATCAGGGAGGACGGCGGCAACCGCTGCTTCTACAACGGCGCCCGCGACGGGATCTGCAGCCTGTTCGCGCGCAAGTTCTCGCCGGACACGCTCGAGCCGCTGCTGCGCTTGGCTCCCAAGGTCATAGGCTTTGGGTGACCTCATGGAGTCATGTCATGGTCAATATTACAGTACCTCCTAGTTCCTACTAGCACATCTGAGGTCGAAAAAACAGTTGCTTCACTTCCTGGTTCTTGCAATTCGTTATTTAAGCTAAAAGGTTGTGTAGTTGCGTGATGAAGCCAACGATTTTGCACTTGACTTATGCTACTTGAACCACTACTGGTTGGACATGTTTGACCCAGAAGAATATAGAAACAGATCAGAACATGCATCACAACTTATGCATCGTCGTTTACCGTGTGCCTAGCACTTGTGTCAATCCTAAGTTTCCGTTCTTCTACCCGGATCAGAGGTCAAGCCACCTCTCAACGTGTTGAGCATCAACGGATGGAACATCGATCGGAGTGATGGTCTGATGGACAGCTGGGATAAATGATGTATGTATGGACAAACCTCGAGCCACCACACCAAGACATTGAGGCGGCAAATATGTTTGTTCGCAGCAGAGTACCACGCCATGTGCCTTACTTTCATTCCCGTTCGAAATCATATATAATATAAGCCCTTTATTTGTGATGCTTAAAAAGACAGGTCATTCTCACTAAAAATAACTTAGCTAGAAGAAAATAGGATGAAAATAAAGATTCGACTTCATCCTCTCCTTATCCTCTTTCATGAACAGGGCATAAAGTTGGAATTTTTTATTTTATTATCTAAAAATGAGTAAGGCTAAATATAATTCGTGTGATTCAAGGCTTCCTATCACTCAAATTTTTGTGCCAAATCCAAAGATGTCACGTGACCTTCTTCCACAACTCCGGCAAGGTTAGTGTTAGGGTTTAGGGTTCAGGGGTTTACCTGAGTCTATCGGGCTTAGTTGGATCGCTTGGGAGAAGGTCGGGCCAGCAATAGTGGCGTGTGCGAGGTGAGGCGGCAGTGGTGCCGCCAGTCAGGGAGTGGGGGGAAGACATTTGGACGTGGCAAGGGCGGGAACGTCCTCGTGATAGCCCGATGACCTCCACGGGTTAGTGTGGCAGAGTTTGTAGGCGGCGGCGGCGGTGGGGGCAGTGGGGAGCCGTCGAAGCTTGGAGGAGGTGGTGGCAGTGGGGGAGCTCAACTAGAGATGAAGGAGACGGTGAGGAGGAGGGACATCTAATGGATTCTAGGGGTGGCGCGTTGAACGGTTGCGGACCGGTGGCGGGTGAGACGCTGGAGCCTAGTAGGGAGGCAGAGGCGGCAGGGGTGAGTAGGGCGTCATGGTTGGGTCCATGCGAGCAGAGGGAGATGACGGAAAAGATAAGATGGAGCGAGAGATTTAATCTAGCCCCTTTATTTTAGATCTATGGGGGAGAAAACGAGTGATGGTTGATCTCAAAACACTTTGTTACCTAGACTGGAGAAAAATGTTTTGTTTGGAAGAGCCTTTGACATGTTCCTCGTCTACGGTTTGACCGTTGACGAGCTCCTCTCTCTTTTTTTTTTTGATAAACGGGCTCCTCTTTTGTTGTGCTCCTAGCCAAGGATACATTGTTTTTTTTCTCCTCATATAAAATGATCCTTTTGCACAATACTATATGTAACAAATAGATCCGGAGCATAGAAATTGTTGTCTTTGAGAGGTCTCAGCCCAATTTTAGTTTCATCATGCAAGATATTAGAGATGAGGAGTCAAAGGGCTCCGTAGCTTTTGGGCATGACTATTTTGTCGGTCTTTGGTATTACTTAGTTTTCTTTTTTTTTTTTGTGTTTTCTTCGGTTGTAATGGTCACTCCCTTGTAAGGGGTTGTTTAAGTTGCCTAAACAGCTAGACTCCTTATTTATTGTTCTTAGTATAATGATACGTAGCTCTTCTACGTGTTCGAGGGGAAAAAAAATCCCCATCGGTAGTTCATAGCGGAAGCAACGCAAAGGATGAAACTACGACCCATCGATTGCTTGCATCCTACTAACAACTCGCGAAGTGAATCAGGCCGGCCACGTAGTACACTAGTAGCTTTTGCACGAACAAGCCATGTTAATTTGCAGCGAAAGCAAAGCGATCGGCGCCGTGAGTGAATTCCGATTCCATCAACGAGGCTGCAGAGTAGCAGCCATTGTATAAGGCTGCAAGTGCATCGCCAGGGCAGAGCGTTTCTCCCTCACGCATGCTAGCTTGAAGCCAAGCCATAGCCATGAAGGACACGAAGAAGCCCACGCGGACGGCGTCTCGTTTAGGCGGGAGGCTCATCGGCGTGGCATCCATGCTTCTCTTCGTCTCGTTGGGGTTCGTTCTCGGCGTGACCTCCTCCAACGCCATGTTCATCCGATACTACCTCCCTTTCATGCCACCGTTACGCTCTAGTGCTGCGCCGTCGTCGTCTTCGCCTCCGCCGCTGACGACGCCACCTCCTCCTCCGCCGCCGCCGCCGCCGCAAAACCCGCAGCTTCGGTCGGCGGGCTTCCTTTCCCCGAGCGGCGTCATGCACAACATGACCGACGAGGAGCTGTACTGGCGAGCGTCCATGGCGCCAATGGTCCGCCGCACGCCGGTCAGCCGCGTGCCCAAGGTGGCTTTCTTGTTTCTGGTCAGAGGGGAGCTGCCGCTCCGGCCTCTGTGGGAGAAGTTCTTCGCGGGTCACGAAGGGCGGTACTCCATTTACGTGCACGCCCACCCGTCCTACACCGGCTCGCCGCCGACGGACTCCGCGTTCTACGGCCGCTACATCCCGAGCCAGGTAACCAAGATCCAGAGCAGTCGATCTGAAAAAAACAACAAAATGTACGGATCAATCTCGTCCTGCACTGCATTTGCAACGACGCAACTACACATTTCATCATCTCGGTGGTTTGATTGCATTGCAGATAACGAAATGGGGCGACGCGAGCCTGGTGGAGGCGGAGCGGCGGCTGCTGGCGAACGCGCTGCTGGACCTGGGCAACGAGCGGTGTACGACTTCCCCACCGTGTACGCCTTCCTGACGGGCTCCGACACCAGCTTCGTGGACTGCTACGAGAACGGCGGCAGCCGGTCGCGGTACCGGCCCTTCTTCGCCACCCGCAACATCACGCTGGCGCGGTGGCGCAAGGGCGCGCAGTGGTTCGAGATGGACCGCGCGCTGGCGCTGGAGTCCGTCGCCGACGAGCCCTACATCCAGATGTTCCGCGACTTCTGCGTGGGGCGGAGGGAGTGCCTCATCGACGAGCACTACCTGCCGACGCTGGTGAGCCTGCTGGGGTGGGGCCGCCGCAACGCCAACCGCACGCTCACGTACGCGGACTGGAAGCGGCCCGTCAACCGGCACCCGCACACCCACGGCGCCGACGAGGTGACGGAGGAGCGGATCAGGGAGATCAGGGAGGAAGGCGGCAGGCGCTGCTTCTACAACGGCGCCAGGAAGGGCATCTGCAACCTGTTCGCGCGCAAGTTCTCGCCGGACACGCTCCAGCCGCTGCTCCGGCTGGCGCCCAAGGTCATGGGGTTCGGGTGACCTGCAGACGGTCGACCGGAGCAGAGAGAGTGTACCATAGCATTCTACTATTCTTTGCGTCGTGGCTGATCGATCCAGCAGCCTGTTCGCTTATCGTTTACGTGGCTTACAAGTCGTCTGACGCTGTTTTATTGTGAAAGCGAACAAGGTACAGGTTGAGCTGGGATCACAGGCAGAGAGTCCAGTATCAAGAGGAGAATAAACTCGAATTTTTTGCCAACCATATACACCGTATCATGAACACCTCGTTTGTCAACCGATAACATCATGGTGCTGGGCTGCTGGCTGGGTTCACGGCGACGTGGCGTAAGCACGTTGTAGTTGTGCGGCGTGGCGTGGTGGCGGGTAATACCAGACCCATTTCATATTTGAGTAGCGCTACAGATAAAAGATTTAATACCTATAAAAGGTCTTCTCCAACAAGTTTTAAAAAAGAATCCTTTCTAAAAATAGGTCTCCAAGACAGAGAATATTCAGATTTAGATTATACCTCTGCTTGCCTCAAGATAAGTCTTCCGTGCTATTTTAGTTTTGGGAAATTTTGCTATTGGACATGCCAAATGACGCGTCTTTGCTGGCGGACACTGCGTTTTTCATCTTTTGCCGTGAGACACTCTGGTTTTTGAAAATACTGCCAGTGGGCACCGCAACCCAGTCGCACCCGGTTTTGGAGAGAGAAAACTTCGTTTTGGACATCGGGTGCCCCTGAACCATACTTGGCGCCGTCCCAACCTGGTCTGGTTCGACCCACTTAAAACGGCCGGCCCGCACCCGACTCCGTCGTTAGGGTTCCAGGCTTTCCCCAATCCCGCTGCCGCCGCTCACTCCCAATCGCGCCGCCACCCACTCGTCTCCACTGCTCGTCGCGCCGCCGTCCACCCAGTGCCCGCCGTCGCTGACAGATCGAGCCTCGGCCGTCATCCGCCATGGGGGGTTGAGGATCTATAGTTCCCCCGCGCCCCGAAGATGAAGTCCCCCAGCTCGAAGAATGGGCAGTGCCCTAGGTCTCTGCCTAGGGTTCCTCAATTCAAATGGCTAGTGAAAGGGTGAGTCTTTTGAATCCCTACTATTTGCAGATGAATGCCTGCGGATGTGGTAGAATGCTTGCGGTTTTGAAATCGTTTAGTTTGGTTGTTATCCTTTGTGTTGATTTAGGATGGATCCGACTTCCGCGTGTAGACTGGCGATTAGCGTACCTGCATATGTAGAGCAAAGAGCAGATGGGCTCGATGATTATCATGTAACTGCTAATTACATTCGTGTGGTAGACAAGGATAAATTCTCTTGGATGGGGTTTCTTGGGTGCCTTGGTGAGGAGATAGTCCATGGGGTCGACCAAGAACTGCAGGTCACCTTCTTTGACAAAACCAAGGATGAGACAGTGCGCATAGATTCTGATTCTGCTCTGTTAGATGCATTTGATGTGTATTGGGACAGTAGGAAGGTGCCACTGACTGTACATGTTGTTGACACTGGTCCTCGTTTGCTAAAGTCTTCTCAGTCTGTTATTATCACTCAGGAGAGTCAGGTTAATTGTCAGCCAATAGATATGATCTTCAGTGATGAACTTGTACTGCCTAATCTAGTAGCTGATGACAATGGTGAAGCTGTTGATCTTAATGATGATGGTAATTGTGAGACTGATGCTAATGGTGATGAGGGTCTTAATCTTGATAATGATGGTGAAGATGATGATGCTATTGCTGAAGAAGAAGAAGATATTGCTGAAGATGACTGGGGAGAGGCTGATGAAGTGGAGTATGTAGGAGTAAATGATGAGAATGAGAAGTACAAGGATGGGGTCAATGATGATGGTGATGCTGACCCTGCTTACTATCCTGACAGTGACCCAGAAGATGATGACCCATTAGTTGTGGACGATGGGAGGGACTGTGACGGTGTTGTTCATGTCACTGACATAGATAACCCTAAGATAGGTCTTGGTGTTACTTTTGAAGATGGTTTCTGCTTTAAGAGATGTATTAGACAATATGCTGTGCTTAATGAAGTTGAACTTGTAGTTCCATATAGTGCGTCACGGAGGTACCGAGCATATTGTAAGGCCCAGAGATGTCCGTGGAGGATTCATGCATCTCAGTTACCTGATGGCAAGACATGGCAGGTATGTGAGCTTTGTAATGCTTCATTTAGTTTAATTTAGTTATCAATTGTTGTGTGATAACCGTTGGTTGATGGCTGCAGATTAAGAAGCTACCACACAAGCATAATTGTGCCAGCACAAGCAAATTCCAGAACAACTGTATGGCTAACAATCACTGGGTGAAGGACAGAGTTATAAACTGGCTTAGGGAAGATCCAACTATTGGAGCTAAAGATTTGAAGCAGAAGTTGGAGGAGAATTTTTGTGTACAGCTGAGCTACTACGTGGTTTGGGACGGCAAGCAAATGGCCTTAGATGAGATCATGGGTGGCTGGGAAGATAGCTTTGTACATGTGTTTTCTTGGAAAAGGGAGATTGAGAAGAGGAGTCCTGGCAGTGTTGTAGAGATTGAGTGGGAGATTGTAGATGAGAAGAGAAGATTCAGTAGGATGTTTGTAGCACTAAAGCCATGCATAGATGGCTTCACAAAGGTTCTGAGACCTTATTTAGGAATTGATTCCACAATTTTGACAAAAAGTGGAAGGGACAGTTAGCATCAATGTAGGGATAGATGGCCTGGCTGGATGTTCCCAATGGCCTATGGAGTATTTGGCAGTGAGACCAAGGAGAATTGGGAATGGTTCATAAAGATGCTGCACAAGGCTATTGGTTCCCCAAATGGTCTTGTTATTTCAACTGATGCAGGTATGTTGCATTCATTGTGCTCTTGTTTTTCAATTGAGTGTTGTATGTTCCCCACCTGACATTGTTTCCATGCTTACTAACTATAGGTAAAGGAATAGACAAGGTTGTTACCAAAGTTTTCAGTAATGGGGTGGAGCACAGAGAATGCATGAGGCATTTAGTCAAGAATTTCCAGAAGAGGTTTAGGGGAGAAGTGTTTGAGAGGAACTTATGGCCTGCATCAAGGTGCTATAGACAGACAACCCATGATAGGCACTGGAATGAGATGGACAAGGCATGCCCCAAGGCAACTAGGTGGCTGCAGGACAATCACAAGCAGCTATGGGCAAGGTGTAAGTTTAGCACAGCAAGCAAATGTGACTATGTCACAAACAACATAGCAGAGACTTTCAACAGTTGGATCAGGGAAGAGAAGTCATTACCTGTTGTAGAGCTAATGGACAAGATAAGGCAGTTGATCATGGAGAGATTTTGCACCAGGATGCAACTGCTGTCCAAGTTTTCTGCCTTCAAGATTCTGCCAGCTGTCATGAAGCAGCTGCACAACAAAAGTAGAAATCTGAAGTACAACATTCACAAGAGTGACCCAATGGTTGGTGAAGTTGGAGGAGTCAACAAGGACCTGGTCCCTTGGAGGTTCATTGTTGATCTAGACAAGAGAGAGTGCACCTGTAGAGGTTGGCAGTTAACTGGTCTGCCATGTGTTCATGCCCTAGCTTTCATTGGCACCAGAAGGGTAGACTTAGAGGACTATGTTGACCACTACTATTCTGTAGACATGTTCAAAGCAGCCTATGCAACTCCAGTGCCTCCAATGCCAAGCAAGGATGAATGGGAAAAGCTGAACCTTGGTTTCAACCTCCTTCCACCTAAATGCAACATAGCAGCAGGAAGGCCAAGGAAGAGAAGGATAGTTGGAGTTGAAGAAGGTGGCTCCAGCAGCAAGGGCAGGAGAAGGTGTAAAAGGTGTGGTGGATTTGGACACCTGCAGAAAACCTGCAATGAAACTGTTGCAGACCCTGATGCACCACCACCTGCACCTCCAAAGAAGAAGAGAAGGACTTATAAGCCAAAGGTTGTTGAGATCATAGAAACAACAGAAGAGCCAGCCAAGAAAAAGAGAAAGGCCTCCACCAAGGGGAAACAAACTAGTAAGAAGAAGACAACTCCAACTGAGCCTACACCTCCTGAGCAATCAGTGCAGTAAGTGATCCATTTCTTGCCAGCACTGTTCTTAATCTAAAGCCAAGTGCAGTAAGTGTAAGTTGATAACATGGTCACATCTGCCATCTTACAAGGTTCCAAGATCCCCAGTCACTAGGAGGCAGGCCAAACAGCAAGCTGGAGGTAGCCTAGGGGCACAGACTAGGAGTCAGAGCCCAAGCGCCTACACTAGGAGCAAGAGGGGAGGGGTCTGATGCCTGCACTGGGAACATCAAGACAGAAGCAACCTTTTGAGCCACATGTGCTTTTGGTGTGCTTTTGTGTGGTTCTATGAACTTGCTATTGTAATCTGTGTGCTTTTGAGCCTGGATATTGTTGGTGTGAACCTGGTATTTGTATCTGGTAATGTAGTGAACTTGGCTATTGTTGGTGTCAACTTGATATTGCCATCTGGTATGATGTTCCATAATTAATGATCTGGTATGCCTGTGTTTGTCATGCTAAAATTAAGTCAGCTGTTAAGTTGAAGGTAGTGATGCTGCAATTTTAACTTTACAACTAAAAAAGGGAACAAATCAAGTTGAAGTTACTCCATTCAAACTGCATTTCATTCATATTTCACAAACATTACAAATCATACTTCATGCTTGCTTGTACAATACCATGCACAAAGCAAGAAATCAAACAACACCTACAAACACACTGGCCCCAACCATCATCCTAACAACTAATTGCTCTCCAGCTATTCTAGCCACAACGATTATTCTCGAGCAACTACAACATTGTTCAAGTTCAACAGAGAATTCTCCAGAGCCTTCAACGCAGACCATCATTCTTTTGCACCATCATCCATGCCATCTCCAGTAGCTCTCTGGTTTCCACATGAAGAAGTTGCGGTACCGTTGCCCTATTTCACAAAGCCAAATCAATAGGATGAACCCTACATCCGATTTCAAAACGCCTAAATGTAGCAAGAACAAAATCAAGAAAACTCACCCATCCACGATTCACGCAAGTGTAGAACGGCTTGTTTGGATTTTTTGTGGTTCTCGACGTCCGCTCCACGACCGTCGCCAGTGTGGCGAAAAGCGGGCACAAATACTTTGCCCTCTCTCGCTCACGCGACCCGATCGACGAAGCGCCAGATCCTGTAGCCATCTTCTATAGGCCCGCTCTCCCTATCGACGACGCCGCCAACCTCGCCAAGGCCCGGACCCGCCCGCCCGACCGGCCGCGCCATTGCCTATCCTATGCCGCCGCCGCCTCTACGGTGAAGAGGGGGAACGAGGAGCGATGGAGACGGCGGTGGAGACGATCGGTCTTGAGCCGGCCGTTTAAGTGGGTTGAACCACCAGGTTGGGACGGCGCCAAGTATGGTTCAGGGCACCCGATGTCCAAAACGCAAGTTTTCTCTCTCAAAACCGGTGCAAGCTGGTTGCGCGTGCCCATGGCGATATTTTCAAAAACCAGAGTGTCTCACGGCAAAAGATGAAAAACGCAGTGTCCCCCAGCAAAGACGCGTCATTTGGCATGTCCAATAGCAAAATTTCCCTTTAGTTTTGGGTCTCACCATGCATCTCCTGTTGGAGATAGCCGGCCGTAAGAGTAAAATGTAACGCGCGGAAGGCGAGCACACGGCGTGGCGTGGAGCTTCCCTCCTCGGCACGGGAATCGGAGGGGAGACCGGGAGGTCCGGTGATTAGAAGCGGAAAAGCCGGGCCTCGGTGGAGGAGCTTGACTTTGTTCACTCGTCTTTGGGTCGAACACTTCCTACTTGTTGAAACGAGCTCGAGCTAGGATAGTGGGTGGAAACTGTCACCCCATAAAATGGTGAGGGCTTCTTAATTTGAAGGCCTACCATTAGTCTTCTTTTTAAGAAAAGGAAATTTTATTCCAAAGATCTCGTAAGTTATACACTTAAAATTAACCATTCGTTATTATATTTTCAAGCCTCTAGCTTATATTAAAACAAGCTCTCAAATGGCAAGTAATTAAGAGCAATGAGACACCAAGGGTATTAAGAAACTACAAATAGTTGGTGAAGATCTCGATTATCATATTCTCCGGTGTGTGATACTGATATGCCCACTTCAATCTAGGCCCGTCCTTCTCCTTTTGGAGGATGGGACCAAAAGTGTGCCTAGAATATAAGTATATAACCCTGAAAATAACCTGTAAATAAAAATATATAATCTCTTGTAAGAAAAACATGTCGTTTTAGCTCGACCAAATAGGCGAAATGGTTGAACTTGCTTCTACACTAACTTTAGACTATAAATTTGAGTGTTGTTACCAAGGTTCAAGAAAATTCTGTTGTGTGCCTTATTGGTGGTCGTTAGCCAAATTCAATTTGAACCACTCTCAAAAAGAGTGTGCCACATGACAATTGAATAACAAGCGTCGAACGACTATTAAACTGCAAGGCTACATTGCTTATATTGAGGTTCTGCTTTATTGAATCCTGTTGCTGTTGGTTATCTAGTTTCCCATATGCTTTCACAACCCACTGGCTCCATTTAACTAAATTGCCACCAGCTAGTATCCCGCGGAAAGTTACATTAAGTGGTGTGTATATGAAAGTATGAGCAACCAGAATGTATTTTTTTTTCTAGTAATATTATATAAAGATGAACATTATTATTTAAGGGTAAAGTTTTCTAACTGCTTCTTAAGGACTTATGAAAAATGTGAAATATGAATTTTCAGGTCTTCAATGTTTTCCCAATAGTCTCACTTTTAAAATACTTGGGTCCAAGAAAAAAGGGTTAGGTCTGCAGAGGAGTGATTTCTGATTATTATTATTATTATTATCATTTCCAAACAAGTAGCAGGTGTCAGGTTTTGTTATTGTGTTGTGTATCATTTCCCAATACGAAGGAATAGCCTCCAACAGCAGCTGTTCAGTCACGTGGGAAGTGCATCTAGCACCTAAGATTCGCAGCCTGTTCGCTTGCTCGTAAACGATCGTAAATTTTCAGCCAGGAACAGTGTTTTTCTCTCACACCAAACCAGCCAGCAGTAAATAATCCACGATACGATACGGCCTCCCGAACAGGCTGTCGGTGACGGTTGATAAAATTTGTCTTTCGGAGAGAGTACATCTAACTATCCAAGATGCATTTAGAGCGTCTCAACCAGATTTGTGAAAACACCTCTTAATTTATTTTTACAAAAAAGATTCTCTCAATTTTGTATCTAAACTTTCTAAAATTAAGTATTTGTTAAAGAGTCTGGTCTCCAACTCTCAGATATGTACTCCCTCCGTTCGAAAAAAAAATATAATTCTAGCATAGTATCAAGTTAAAGTATTAACCAATCATATATAAAAAGTAGAAATAGTTATTGACATTAAATAAGTATAATTAGATTAGTCATGGAATATATTCTCATTATATACTTATTTGATGTCAAGAATATTAATACTTTTACCTATCTTTAGTTAAAGTTTGGACACTTTTACCTATAATGTATCTATGGTTTTCTTCCCATTCCGATATGCTTTTTTAGGGTCTGTTTGATTCTCTCCTCTAAATTTTAGAAATCTAAACTTTAGAGCTAAAGCTCCAAAGTTAGCTCTATACTTTAGCCCACGTTATATTAAAGCATTATATCTCAAAACTGAACTAAAGTGTTCTAAAGTTTTAGATATCTAAAATTTAGAGGAGGATCCAATCAAGTCCTTAGTAAGACGGATGTTGACCGGTTGTTAGCTAAGAATTTGAATAAACATTTGTTCGGATTTATAACTGAAGTGTTAACTATTTTAGACGTCTGTTTTGATTAGTGTCTAGCTACTGATTTAGGATAGAGGGAGTAATAGCAGTTATGGGTCTCATTCACGGGTCTAAAACTTAGCTAAAACTGGCTGAAAAATACTATTTTAGCTGAACTATTACCAGAGAAAAACATTGTTTCAATAAAAAATCAAGTCGAACAAATTGAATACTAGGTAACCCGAACTGGGCCACGCTGTGAGCCGGTCTTGGCGCCTCGAATTGCACTGCTGTCACCGAAGTTTGGTACGAGAGCTGTAGAGCACCGCCACCAACCTCTGCGGCGCGCGGGAACGCGACCTCTTGGCGCCATAATGATCTCCGGATTGCGCACGATCGTCTCTGCTCTCCAACCCGCCGTTACCACGCATCCCGAGGCCAGTGGTAATGAAGCGGTCCCACCGCGACAACGATGTGCCATGATGCCGAACAGCAGTATGGTGTGGAGCCCAGGCGTCATCCGCTGTTTAACACGCCAACGCCACCGCTCCGTACCGTTTCTTCGTTTAACAATCCCATCGCCTTTGCTCCTCCACTCCTCTGCAAGATGCTACAGTACCTAGGGCAGCTCGCCGCTCGCCACCGCACCCAAGTGGTGGGCAACGGTCGCTGCGGCTTCACTGTTCCCTGCTCACGTGCTCCAGTAATAAATAAAAGCTGTAAAAAGACGGGAGGGCAAAAGGCTCCGACTTGCGACAAGGGCAGGCAGCGAGCGACTGTCCGTGCGGTGCGACGAGAGGGAAGCAACGGGCACCAGACAGACAAGAACCAACCCACCGTGGCTCCGTCTCTCTCGCCGCTGTCTATTTCCTACTTGCAGCGGAGCGAGTAGCGCGGCCGCCGATCAGCGCCCGCGCGCGAGACAACCGCGAGCCCCCAAGAAAACACAAAAAGAAACGAGCATGCCTCCCAACGGCAGCACTGCTCTGCTGCCGCCGCTGCTGCTCCTCCTCCTCCTGCCACCGCTGCATTCCTTCGCCAATGCCGGCTCTCTGGACGCCGACGTCGCGGCGCTGTCGGACTTCCGGCTCGTCGCGGACCCGTCCGGCGCCGCGCTGGCGACCTGGAACCTGTCCGCGAACCCGGCGCCGTGCGCCGGGGCGTGGAGCGGGGTCACCTGCGCCGGCGGCCGCGTCACGCGGCTGGTGCTCGAGGGCCTCGGCCTCTCCGGCGCCGCCGCGCTCCCGGCGCTCGCGAGGCTGGACGGCCTCCGCGTGCTCAGCCTCAAGGGCAACGGTTTCTCGGGCGAGATCCCCGACCTGTCGCCGCTCGCGGGGCTCAAGCTGCTGTTCCTCGCGGGGAACGCGCTATCCGGCCCGATCCCGCCGTCGCTGGGGGCGCTGTACCGCCTGTACCGGCTCGACCTGTCGTCCAACAACCTGTCCGGCGTCGTGCCGCCCGAGCTCGGCCGGCTCGACAGGCTTCTCACCCTGAGGCTGGACTCCAACCGGCTCAGCGGTGGGATCGACGCCATTGCGCTGCCGAGGCTGCAGGTGCTCAACGTCTCCAACAATTTGATGTCCGGGAGGATTCCGGCGGCGATGGCGTCGTTCCCGGCCGCGTCGTTCGGCGGGAACGTCGGTCTGTGCAGCGCGCCGCTCCCGCCGTGCAAGGACGAGGCGCAGCAGCCCAACGCGTCGGCGGCGGTGAACGCGTCCGCGACAGGGGGGGACTGCCCTCCGGCTTCCGCCATGGTGGCGGCGTCCTCGCCTTCGGGGAAGGCAGCGGGCGCCGAGGCGGCAGGCGGGGGCGGCAAGGGGAAGATGAGCCGCGCCGCCGTGGTGGCAATTGTGGCGGGGGATTTCGCCGTGGTGGGGCTCGTGGCCGGGCTGCTCTTCTGCTACTTCTGGCCGCGCCTCTCCGGGCGGCGGAGCGACCGGCGCCTCCAGCAGGGGGAGAAGATAGTGTACTCCTCGAGCCCTTACGGCGCCGCCGGGGTGGTCGCGGCGGCTGGTGCTGGCGGCGCGACGTTCGAGCGTGGGAAGATGGTGTTTCTGGAGGACGTGAGCTGCAGCAACGGCGGCACGAGGCGGTTCGAGCTGGAGGAACTGCTGCGCGCGTCCGCGGAGATGCTGGGGAAGGGCGGGTGCGGCACGGCGTACAGGGCCGTGCTCGACGACGGAACCGTGGTGACCGTGAAGCGGCTGCGTGACGCCACGGCGCCGGCGGCCGCGTCCAAGAAGGACTTCGAGCACCACATGGCCGTGCTGGGCCGCCTCCGCCACCCCAACATCGTGCCCCTCAACGCCTACTACTACGCCCGCGACGAGAAGCTGCTGGTGTACGAGTACATGCCCAACGGCAGCCTCTTCTCCGTCCTCCACGGCAAGTCCTCGATCTGCTTGTCTCGTGAATAGTTTTTGTTGGCTTGATTGAATGCTGAATTGAAACATGCCTATGGTGTATGATGACGATGCAGGGAACCGGGGCCCTGGGCGCACGCCGCTGGAGTGGGCGGCGCGCCTGCGCATTGCGGCCGGCGCCGCGCGCGGACTGGCCAACATCCACCACTCCGGGCGCCGTGGCAGCGGCACGCCGAAGCTGGCGCACGGCAACATCAAAGCACCAACATCCTGCTGGACAGATTCGGCGTGGCGCGTCTCGCGGACTGCGGGCTGGCGCAGCTGACCCCGGCCGCCGCGGCGGCCGCTCCGCGGGGTACCGCGCGCCCGAGGCGCCCCGCCGCCCCCGTCCCTGGGCGTCGCACAAGGGCGACGTGTACGCGCTGGGCGTGGTGCTCCTGGAGCTCCTGACGGGTCGGTACCCGGGCAGCGAGCTCCCCAACGGCGGCGTGGTGGTGGAACTCCCGCGGTGGGTGCAGTCCGTGGTGCGGGAGGAGTGGACGTCGGAGGTGTTCGACCTGGAGCTGATGAAGGACAAGGGCATCGAGGAGGAGATGGTGGCGATGCTGCAGCTGGCGCTGAGCTGCGCGGCGGCGGCGCCCGAGCAGCGGCCCAAGATCGGGTACGTGGTGAAGATGATCGACGAGGTCCGCGCGTGCGGGGTGGAGGCGTCGCCGTCGCACGAGTCGTCCTTGGACGAGTCCTCCGGCGTCTCCGACTCGCCCGCCGTGTCCGAGGGCGGCGGCGGCGGCGCGCTCAGCCAGTGACGGAGGGCGCGCGGGGGCGGGGCGACCTGGTGGTGTTGGTGGTCCTTCGGAATTGCCTTGTGATGGGTGCCTTCGATTTTAATTTTTGTTGCTTTTGGGGGTGAGGTGGATTAGCCAGGGCGTGTATAATGGTTGGGCCGGCTCTGATTCTGATCGTTTTGCTCCTGTTCTTTTTTAACTGGCAGTAGATCCCTAGAGTGAGTAGCTGCGGCCGCGTTTTGTGTGAGAAAAGTTGTGCTAATTGCGTGAGTGGATCATGACTGTCTTTTGGTGCTTCTTCTTTTACGGCTACAGTGGTGTTGTCCCTTTTGGCGCTAGGAACCATGTCCTTGGAACAGCAGCTTGCACTGATTCATGGCGGCTGGCGGCTCCTTTCCGGTTTTCAGGTTGTTCGCATGATGTTCAGCGAGAACTTATCAGCTACAGTGTTTTCTTAAGTACAGAAACCAACCAGCCAACAGGGCTGGCTGTTTAACTGCTGACTCGGATGCTTGTGTGATTGATTAGTTAAGTTCTGTACTGTACTGAGAGTGATTGGATAAGTGTGATAATGTCCTCATTCGCTGATAATCAATCCAGGGCAGCAGCAGGCCCAGCGAGGGCTGCGTGCTGCGGGCTGTGGCGGACCGTTGGGTCCTGAACGGACGGGACGAGTGAGACCGGCGTCAATGTGTAATGATGACGGGTGCTAGGGCTACGGGATGCCCGGGCGGGCCGTTTGCGGACGTGGCTTGGACACATCCTCGCCGTCTTGTCTCCATCTCATGGGCTGCGGTGTCTGCCAGCCGTGCGGCCGTTCCACGCACGGCCTACTGCCGCCTAGGAGAAGGAGAGGAGGGGCTCACGCTGACGCCCCTGCATCGCTGCAATGCAACCCTGATGCGAAGGAAAGGAACGTTGGAACTCCAATTCTCCTGTGTCCTGTCCTGCCTGGATGCGCATCATCATCAGTCGCTTGCATCGCCATGGCCATGGTGCGTGCACAGTGACTTGTAACTGGTCTCCCGGAATGCTGTTAATGTGACGTACTACGAGTAGTACTTTTACAAGTTGTCCCGGAACTCTGCGAGCCTGCACTTGCCATGCCATGATCCCCCAAGGGCCAAGGGCTCAGCGAATGAGCGACGTTGGCCATGGACGCATTGATGAGTTCAATGTTGGTTAGGCGGCCAGCGGGCATGAACAGAACGGACCACGAGCCCCTCTCGATCCACCTCGGCATCATAAAGGATCTCCGGGTCCCGGTCCTGCAGCAGCTGCGGCCACCGGCCACGGCCCACGGGCCACCGGCCACGCCCAGCAGTACAAACGTCTCCTCCGTCTCAGCAGCACGGAGTCCTACTACACCTAACCTGAAAGCGTACAGTCTAGTACTCTGCGCTCTGCCCCTGCCCCTGCCGCCTGGCCGGTGCTCGCTCTCTGAATTTTCCAATACCAACCTTTTTCTTTCTCAGCCCTTGTTTAGCTCGCGGTTAGAAATCAGTATTCGGCACTGTAATACTTTTATTTGTATTTGACAATTATTATCCAATCATAGTTTAACTAGGCTCAAAAGATTCGTCTCGTAATTTACAATCAAACTATGTAATTAGTTATTTATTTCATCTATATTTAATACTTCATGCATGTGTCTAAAGATTTGATGTGACGGAGAGAGAGTGAAAAAATTTGGAATCCAAACAAGGCCTCAATCAAAACTTCATTTTATCATACTTTCAAGTGGTTTTGGTACTACTGCAGTAGTACGAGTACTGTATTTTTGCCACCAAGTACTGAGATCTGGCTACAAAGATCCACCTGTCACTTGTCAGTCAAAGTTTATACTAGTACCGGTAAATCTTGCACCCTCAGGACACTGCAAGTTATGAATCCTCACTCCGTACTGTTGTTGGTGCATACGGAGCATACACCACTACTACAAACAACAATTACTAAAGTACTCCTTCCGCCCCCACCCCGACCAAAAAAATAAAACAAATATAAGGTTCATGCTAGTCAAATAAGGTTAAGTTTGATCAAATTTTAGTGAATAATATTAGCATTTATGTCTCTAAATAAGTTTATTATAAAAATACATTTTGTAACCAAAATAATGATACTTATTTTGTACGTATTATAAGTGTTTGTGTTTTTTTTTATAATTTTAATCAAAGTTTGAATCATTTGACTTGTTGAAAAGTGAGAACCGTGTTCTTTTTTGGGCGGAGCTAGTATAGAATATGGATTCTATTTTGAAAAAAAAATGAGGGATGTTTTCATCTCATTCAAATAGTGATTATTGTCTTGTTATAGTGAAAATCTTCAAGAAGTAGGTTCGAGATAGGCAGTTAGATTCTAGAATCTCAGAGGAGTCGTCATTTTTAATGCAAAAACTGACACTTATTCTTTATTTTTTTTCTATGTTATTCTAATTTTTGTTAAGCGATTCAAAGACTAGCTAGAGGGCCTTAAGCACTACGGTAGGTATACGTTTTTTCTTCTTCTTTTTGATAACTATGGTAGGTAGACGTTGGCAAACGACGAATTCCGCTGAATGATTGCTCGCCGTGCGCCTGGCATCGCAGCGGAGCAGCCCGAATACGCGGACGACGACGGAGAGGGAGAGGGAGAGGGAGAGAGATGCACTCATGGCAGCATGGCTGCGTGGGTACTGTACGTGGAGTTATTGTGGGCGTTATACCTTACTAGTACGCAGCGACGGAGCTTGCATGAATGTGTAGGGGGACAATTCAAAGGTACACTGCTACCGTATTTACCAATAGTAGTACAGACAATTAGAATTCTGTGGAAAATCTTTATTTTTTCAAGTTCTATCTATATATACTGCAATGAATAATTGAAATCCTGTCAAAGAAGAATAAACAATGTACAGATTTATATACTTATAAGTTATAATCCACTAATCAGCAACAGCAAGCATGGTACAAGAGATGTAGAAATTAATTATATACATGCAGCGACATGCAAACCTGTAGAGTGCAGCCGGAGCAGGGGGGCCAGGACCCAGTTTGGCCCCCACGTAGCTCCGTCCGTGCTAGTACGTACAGATTTACTCTGCGCGTGTGGACCTACGGCTACGGTATGTAACTGCCCGTCCGGCCACGGGCCACAGGTAGTAGATCGAATCCCATGTACGAGTAGAGGCTGGCGACAGCACAGGTATATACCGCCGTTGCATGTCTTGCGCATCGGCGGACCAGCACCAGCAGTGGTCCTCCTGACTCCTGACTCCTGTCCAGCAGCAGAGCAAGCTGCATCGCGTTCCACCGGGCAACGAGTGGTGTGCCCCGCCCATGCATGCACTACGTACACAGTACACTGCTATCCATCAGTGTCCTGGAGTGCAGATGGCGCCTTTGGCCTTTCTCCATCCGCTCTCCTGAGTCCTGACCCATGCAGCTCTGCCAGGAAGACTCGCAGCCGGCTTCATCCCCTTGTTGCGCCCGTCAACTGTCTACACAACTCATGGTGCAGAAGTCTTGCATGCATGACTCACGCAGCAGCAAAAAGCTTACGAAACTGACGGATCTCATCTAACCGTCTTGTTCGTCAGGCCATGCATGCTATGAACTTATCCTGCGAAGGAGAGCTGAACCTATCCGGACTAGGAGACTGTAACTAGTAATACAGTACATATGCAGCTGTGTACTTGCATCTATCTAAAACAAAAGCATGTACGAGTACCCCACGGCTATGAACTGTAGCGTACTGATCCAGTCCACAACGCGAAGCGCGGCGAGGACTGTGGAGTACTGACTGGCGCGCCCCCCGTTGCTGCACATGACATGGGCGAGCGCCGGCCCGGGCAGATCGCGTCGGTCGTGCAGCGCGCTTTGCCTTTGCTCGATCGCTTTCCGCCCTCGTCTCGACCCCGTCGGCCTGATCGATCCCCGCTGTTCGGTCCCCCTTCGCTGTACTATCTCCGCAGCGCGGCTGCGGCTGCGGCTGGCTTTGTAGGGCTACTACCTCCTCCTTGGCCTAGCATGGACGCAGAAGCGAGCGAAAGAGAGGGCGATCTGGCGCTGGAACAGGAACAAGAACAGGAGGTGGCTGGCGGATGCTGACCGGATGGTAGTGGACCTGATACCTGATAGTGGCTGGCGAAAGGTGCTGCGTTGTCTTCGAGTGCGCGAAAACTTTGAGCGAACGTGGAAATGTTGTGCCTTAAATGACTTTTTTGGACGGTAATGCTAGGAATAGGATAGTACACGGGGAAAAGTGTTGTCTGAAACGACACTGGCTTACCTTATGTCCAGTCACTAGCACATCTCAATTCTAAGCAACGTTACGTAATCAACACAGGTAAATGAAAGGAAATACTTCCTTTCAAAACATATAGCTCAGGATAATATGCGGTAACTATTCAATTCATTCTTAGTAAAATGAAGCGACTGAAGCATAAAAACCTTTAGGGCCCATTTGGATCCCTGAAATTAAATTCATTCTAATAATTACAATTTAGACATAGATTAATTAAACTAATATAGTTATATATAAAATATATTTGTATATTTATTGTTAAGCATACAAGAGGCATACTTATACATTACATTTCTGTTACATTTCTACGGTAGGAAAGTGAGTTAAGAATATGCTACAAGTTGAAGAATAGAATTATAGCATAGTGATCTATAGAATCCATTTTCATCTCCCACCCGATGAATTTGAGATAGACTTATTTATGAGCTTGAGAATGTTATGGAATGTCAAATTGTAAACCAAATAGCTTAATCCATTATATAGATTTCAATTTCTCCAAAATGAAAGAATCCAAACGCCCCTTAGGGATCCCCAACCTTTATCGGCCCTCCTGATGGATCTTCAGTTCATCAGGACGGCTCCTCCTATAGAGAGAAAAAAAAATATGGGAAATGAGGCGTTGCTGGCTAAAGATGCGGTGTGATATACAAATAAAATCAATAACCAACAATTTAAGATTGATCACGCTTCGTACCTGAAAGGACCTTCATTATAGCTCACCTCGGTCCCATATATACAAC